TTTGCTGACATTGACGCATGCTCCGGCTGCGGTGGTCCGCTCGCTCCGCTGTCGGTAAACTAGTGCAACGGCAAACCCAACCTCTGTCCAGCGCCTCTGATGTTGACTGATAGCGCTTATCAACATCACTGTGGCGTGCTGATTTGTTACATGATGTTGACAGTCTGTGAAGCAACGCGGTTTAAATGCTGACAGCTGTCCCGTTCGAGATATAGGGGTTATCGTCTCATCGTGTATATTCAATCACGAAATGTTTTATGATTTGTTTTGTCGGATAGATCAAGTAATATTTACATTAATGAAAATTTTAGTTAGAAGGAAAATGGGCCTTTTCCTTCAATTCACTACCACTATTTGTTTGCAAGTAACAAAACATAATTAGTGTTGTATGTTATGCCACGGTTCTGGTTCTAATCTAACCTACACAACTGTTCTGAATTAACCTAAACCCTTTACATGTTATGGAAATAACTATACAATTTTATTTTGAAAAAGTTAAGGTTGTGAATTGACGGAAAATGTTTCAATTTGGATTACTGTAATAACTTTTTACAACAAGCGTAATTAATGCATATTCTAAAATGGCAATAGTTATTCCTCACAACAATGAAGCTGAAACAATGAACAATGAAACTGTTTTGATGAAAATCAAACATAAACAGGTGAAACGTTAACAGTTTCGTTTACATTCGTGAACTAACAAGATGTATTAATTAATTGCTGTAGGCCCCTAACTAGTTTGTGATCTTATTGTTATCTTATCTGACCAAAATCCATTTAATTTGAAACACTGTACTTTTAAGTGACTATACTACAAAAAGTATACATTGTGTAAACAAGCTGCGAAGAACTTTTATTTTACAGCTTACTCTTTACATGTAATAATTTTTGTCTTACAAAACATGTTCCCGGCACTGAAGGAGCGTCTGTGAATATCGTTCTGTCCCTTAGATTTATGTCTTTTAGTGGTCGCTAGACATCCAATATGGCCGTGGGATACGGTTTAGTTCATGTTTAGTTGGCATCGAAACATTTAACAATCGGTGACTATAACTATTGAATATATAACACTTATACTGACATCATTGTACGGATCTGCTTCGCAATACCTGGCTGGGTTCGGGGGACCTAAAGCTGATATCTTCACTTTAAACTGAAACTCAAAGATTTTGACGAAAACTATACTTTCTCCTTATAATATGTACAAGGGGTATAAAACTACAGTAATACTTGATAATTCTGCAACAAGCACACCTCCTATCAGACGTTACCGCCTCCGGGGTGGTCTAATCGTACTGGGTTGTGTAACCATTTCAGTTATGCAAATCGTACAACCCACAAAATATCTTTAGCGTTAATAATGCGTGAAACATTAGAAATAATACAATTACTACTTACATAACATTGAGATTGAACTGTGTTGGAATCGTTTTATCCTAGCGCCCCTTCAGGTGATGTTTTCATAAATGCGTGCTGACATAATTTATTAGTACTGCAATAGTTGCTACAGCCGCAGTTAACAATAAAGGTGGACCTTAGCTGTCCCTGATTAGGCTATTTCACAAAATTTTTCCACTAACATTCTTTTTCTTAAAATATTCAGGTAGCGTTGATGTCTCAAAGTAATTTTAGAAAGCTATAATAATTTAAAAAAATCACGACAAATTTCATAACAATCTACTTTTATTGTAGGTTCACAAAAAGAAAATGTGTCAAAAAAATAATGCATGCACTTCAACAAACTCAAACCAAACGCTACCGACTTCCAAAACAGAATTTTACAATAATGAGAACTCTAACACGGCATCCAAAGTCAATGACAAAACGTAGTAAACAATACTCGATATCCTTGAAGACTTCTACAGCCTTGTTACCAAGTGGTAAACGGAAATGCTAATCAGCTGTTTATTTTGACGTCGCAGCAATCAGCTGATTGTACAACAAGTGATTTCCGTGGGCGTAGAAATGGCGGGAAACTTCAGTGGCTACCGCCGCCGTCACCTACGTAGAACTTCTACCGGTAGCTTCTTAGAGGTACTGAAGGCAATTAAAATACCGAGTAGTTTGTGTGGGTGGTTGTGAAAAAAGTTAAGAATGTGGTTGTCCGTTTCGATGATCTGTGAAGATTTTACACGGAGTGTATAGGATGCTGAGGAGGATTTTAAAACTATGCGATCCTGAGAAAAGCCATTAGGTTTTTTGTGGTTTGAAACATGACCCAATTGTCCTCGATCATTGGGCTTTAAATGAATGATCCTGACTAATAAAACAGCTGATCTTAGTCAGCAACAATGCTACACAGATTATCTTACTTCATTTTACACTCATCCTTCACTCATATTTGGATCAAAATACATACGCACCTAGGTGGCGTCTCGTCTCAATCGATCGTGATAATGTCAAATGGCACTGGGCATTGATAAAAAATGGAAAATGAACCGACATTTACAGATTTGTACTAGTTTAAAGGATTGCTGTCGTAATTGGAAGACAATTAAAATATTGTAACATTTGTTTGAATGCAGATGGTCTAAAAGAAGGTTGAATGATAAAACCCGTTGGTCAGCTTGGACCAGAGAAATACTTGCACGATTGTCTTGTAAAGGTATCTACTTTCCTGCCCAACTTACACTATAATGCTGTAACAGTCCCTATTTCCTACATATCCACCTAACCATTGAAAGTCCCCAGACACATTTGGGTTCCACGATGCACCCCAGGGCACCACGCTGCGATGGGCGGGGGCGTTCAGAAGTTTATATAAACATCATATCAGCCCGGACCCCGCGGCACCCGCTTGCGTGGTTAATTGTAAAACAGTTAACATTAAGCGTTGCTAATAGTGTTGTAACCAGTTTGGACTAGGTTAGTCACGAATGGCACAAGTCCCATTTGTGTAGAAATTAGATAGAGGGTGTTTACGTTTGGTAGTAATGCGTTTTGTTGTTTCTACGCATGTTGCATTTTGATGAAAGAAGTGGTCAAATAGCTCGAATGTTTTTTAGTATCCCGGGGAGCGAACCCTATATTCTCATACTGTAAAATGGAGACGCCAACCACTAAACAATACAGCTAAGTGCATTATTGTAGGCTACATTAAAATGTGATAGAATTAGTTGTAAATACGGTATTTGATAATACTAGTAGGATACTGTATAGATCTATAATGGTTGGAACTAAAGCTTATGTCGTGTGGTTAAGTTAGGTTTCATCGATTTTACTTAGGTGACAATTGTGTAATTTAACAACATGTTGTTATTTGTACTACCAGTGAAAATTACCAAAAAACCAACACCATAATGTGAAATGGCCAATCTCTGCTATAGCTGTCAAAGTTGTTAAGTGTGTTGGTATTTTTCTATTTATTGTATTTGTAATCCTAATATATAATGCCATAAAAATGGTACAATTTTGGTATTTGTGCAAATAGCCAAGCTTATTATGCGGCCTAGAAAGCTGAAACTTGGCATACTTATATAAAGTTAGACAGGGAAGAGATGGACGTCACCTAATTGTTCTTTTTCGATCTAATTAAACCCTTAAATCGCCCTTAAAATTCAAACAAGGAAACACCAAATCAAATTATACTTCTAAACAGCTGTTACTTATTTGTTTTCAATGTTTACACTTATCGCGTAAGTCAGGTTTAAAACGTAAACATGAGTTTTTTTAGGTTAAAGTTTTTTATCTTAAAATGAACATAAACAGCAAATTTTACAGCTAGATTCCAGTGGTTTTTATGGAAATTGTAATTTAATGTTTAACTATTTTTGAGTGTAGATTGTATACGGTGATTAGTTAAGGAACAGACTTTTTAGGTTTTAGCTTTTCTTTTAAATTATAAACCTTAACGGCGAACCTCACGTTTTGATTCCAGTAATTGGTGACGTAAATTGTCTGTTAACATGTTTATCACAGTTATTGTATGGATTACATAGCTTCAGTTTAAGTATGAACCGAAATAGTGAACTGTGTGGTAGCCAACTGGGACAGATTTCAGCCCATATCCTGTAGAATCAAGGGACACACATACTCTAGCCCCGACGACTGCAGAAATGAAATGGGGAAAGATGGAACCTACGGTACATCCTGTGAACTTTACCCCTTTAGGTTTGAAGTTTGGCGAAATGGGACAGTTCTCCATGTGTTTGGAGAGGAACACCACCCTACAAAGCGCCTGACATTTTCTGGTGAACTTGACAACGGACATTTTGACGTCATACCCCATTCAACCGAAAAATGAGCAACATTATCCCCACGTCTGCTTGCCAAAAAGAAATAAATAAAGAAGACAGGTTTAGAAAGACTAAAGTGCGTATGAGAGATTATTTAAATCAAGAAACCCCATTTCAAAAATACGAAAGATTAAACAACATGATAAAAGGAAAATAAATGCTGAGGACGAAAAGAAAAAGGAGCATACAAATTTAAAACCGGGACAAAATGTATCAGAGAACGTAGCAACAACACGTGTGTCTGTAATAAAAACAGGTAAACTTAATAATTCCGTTATTACAAAAGGTAAGGGGCGTCCTCACAAAAACAGAAATACTAGTTTTTTGAGTTTAGAGAAAATATTTGTCATAATTTAGGTTTGATGGAAAATACGTGCGAGTACTGCCAAGCCCTTCATTTCATAAGCGAGACTTCAGATGGCCATTTCAACACATGTTGTCACAATGGTCTAACTTATTTCTTTTCCGCTTCCAAGAATAAACACAGAACTAAGACAACTAGCCACAATCAACTCAAATTTCCTTATTAATACTAGACAACCCTAAAAAAAAGTAATAATAACAAAAGTAATAAATAATTTGATTAACCTTTAAACTATTTGACTTTTTTGTACAGTAATATTATTTATTTAGTATAGTCTAGGGGCTTTGGCCCCTACAAGCCACTAGTGTTTATATATGTTTAGCTGTTCTGAACTATATCGACTACTTGATTCCCGTACGTAGGACGGACCAACAGCTAGTAATGATTTATTTTGTTCATAGGTCGCCTCCTGTTCCAACAATCCAGGAGCCTTCAGTTGAAGACCAGGACGAAGATAAGACTAATGAAGAAGAAAGTCCTGTTGAAGACGCAGATACAGGTAATGACACGATCATTGTACTAAAGAGTAAAGCGTATACTGTAGTATTACTAGTGTGTTATACCATGGGTCTGCGTGCTACCCTAATGAGTTAGTTAATTTTGTCGAATTGATTATTTTGATCTGCTAGTTGTATATAGGCTACATATGACATATTTTCAAATACTGTATTCCCGGAAACCCCGATTTTTGCTCACCACCTAAACTTAAAAATAATCGTATGTCAATAACTAAACAAATAGTCTATATAAAGCAGTTGGTTCGTATCAAACGAATACAGCACAGTCAGCTTTCCGATTGTTGTAGGTAGTTGTAATAATCTAATGTACCGCATTACTTAGGAATAATTTACCATTACTGACTGGGCAGATAAGTTAACCGAAGGTAAATAAAACAGCTTTCAAACACGTAGACCCCTACTTCGCGTTCTGAAAATCCCCCTGTACTACGCCCCATGGAGACCTAATCTACCTCTCACAGTTTAGACTAATTTTGTCGTGCAAACAGCTGTTTATGTTTATTTATACATAGAAAAGATCACTTTACAATATCCTCGTCACCATAATTCAACATAATGCTGAAATCTGTACAACGTAAAGTCAAGCTGAACTGATTTTAATTTGGTGCCGCAGATTTAAACACAACAAATTCCGCTCTCCAAACTGTACGGCTGCAGCTGAGAGCTGAACACGATCGCCCACCGATGGATCGGCAATGGCCAATAGTCTTATCTGCAGCGGGATAATTCAAATGGCAGATTAATTGGCTATTATTGGAGAATCGGCGAGGCGTATATCTCGAGTTATACGAGAGCAGATAGAATCACAGGCGGGCTTCATACAGCCTTCGCTACTGTGTGGAGATGACACAGGCGATTAATGTAGCGAGTACTCGAATAATCGATACAACCATCGAGTACTTACCGATTAGACTGTGGTGTGATGAATGATTTTTAAGCAATCGATAAATCATTGCATTGATTATTGTTCAAAGGAGTTCTGAAATCATCTAAATCCACAGAACCAAAAGGAACTTAGTGTGTTGGTATCAATTCAAAAACCTTTTTGTAACGATCGAGTTTTTTAGTAATCGATAGTAAACCAGTAGTTTTATAACCGAGTACTGAATCGATAGAGCTACCGAGTTCTCACTGTGTAGTATCGCGATAGGTGATTGCTGTATTGAGGCACGGTACCAACAGTGACACTCAATGAACATAGAAACAACGATGAACAATTGCTGTATCGAGTGCCAAGTACTCTAGTTACTGATTATTGGCCGTTGACTAACCCTATTATCCCTATTGTCATGAACTAATGTAATACTTTTAACCGAGTGCTGAAAATTGGAGTAGAATAACTATGACGATCGATCGCCGATCAACCGAATTCTCAAGTATCGTTTCGTTGGATCAACAACCGACTACTTAGTGAGTAGTCAATACTCTATAATATACGATTGCAAAGCATCAGAGTCCATCAATGTATTGTAAAACAACGTTCCAAAATAACTTGGACCAAGCCCTGTGCTGATTACGTTATACTATTCCATTAAATAAAAACTTTTATCACTGTACAAGAAAATTCCTTGTAAGATGGTTAACTGGGCGTAATTATGTAGAAAAACATTTGCTCTTTGAACTATAATTACAAGTATATTATCTTGTGACCTCAAACAACTACACTGTACTTGCGACATACTTAGCTATGTCTAGATCATATCACTTAACGGCGACATTTTAAACGTTTTCATGCTTGACACCCACGAGTAGTAGTAAACTTGGCGAACCATTTTAAGATAAAGAAATGAGCGGTTCAAGGGGAAGTTGGAAATATTATACGTGACTGTACTTCAAGCTGTGCGTCGTAGATATTATTGCAACATGTTTACGTTGTTGAGAAATATTATGTAGTATATAGCATATATAGTCCTCGCCACCCCAACTTGAGGCAGCCCAAGGCCACACTAGATATAGGCATAGATCTCTATATGGATATAGGGCTTGCGGCCTTGGGCTGCCTCAAGTTGGGGTGGCGAGGACTATAGCAGCATAGCAATAGTCATAAAAACAAAAGCAAATCACGCAAAAATACAAACTAAATACTCTACAACGTTAAACAACTCAAAAAGAATTCTTAATTTAATTTTTGAACGGCAACAAACCATCTGCTTACACAATAGACCTACCTACCTTCAACCTACTCCAAATCTATAAGGCTGTCTGGGCATTTATTAACAGACCAATCTTTTAGTACCTATTTCAGTTTTTTCCCCTTCTGGCTTCTAGATAAATGTAGGTAATCTACGTCACTGTCAACAATGAGTTAAAATTTTAGCGGTGTAAGCAGCTATCCCTGATGTACTCTCGGCTATGCTTGCATCGCAAACACATTGCTCGGATGACCTATTGAATGCGGTGACTTATTACGTAGCCAGGCCGTAAATAAAGCTTAAACAAAGGATCTAGTGCAGAAGTGAAGGGGCTGGCCAGGGACCGTGGTACCCCTGTCATTATCACATCGGCGATTACGACTTTCGTTTACATATGTTAATCACTCCACGCCCCCGCGAATTAAGTTATCGCACGCGAATTCCACCCGTATCGCCGCTGACAGAAAGGTCAATTTCGCTTTCGTGGAATGGTTTATGAGGGTCGGTGTTTAACCATTTTGGCTGTAAAATATAGCGACCACAGAATTAAAACTCGTAACAGAAGGTCGCTGGTAAAATATTCAATTATATACACCAGCTACAACAATTCTTTAACTAAAAAAAACATATTTGCTCAAACTAGTTTAGCTTAGAGGTAGATGAAAGAATTTATAATAATATGTTTGTCAATTTTACTTTTACTTTCTAACCAATAGTAGCGCAACAAGTTATTTTGGTTCTAGTGGATCAATGTTTGCCTCAGGAGAAAATTAGGAATATACGCTACATATTTAATACGTGGTAAATATATCAACGCTCAGCAATATACTTTCTATGCAGTCTTTGCCCTGTGGTGATAAACAAAATAATCATATATTTTGTCCCGTATTTGTAATGTGCTATTTCAGATGGCTATTTGTAAGCTTACGTTACGATACTTATGTTTACTCTTTCTTCGTTCTCACAAATCCAAAACAGTAACCTATTGCTCAAAATAAACTTTTTTAAAAATTAAATTAATAGCATATGAAATATAGATTTTTAGCCATTACACTTTTCTAGCACATAATTTTGAAACAAACTTTTAAACCCTACATATAAAGGCAAACCAATCTACAGAAAAACGTTTATCCAAACAAACTATTCTCATACTGTAATTCATATGATGATGTCCACGTTATATGATTTTACATGTTTTCCTGTGAACATAATCAACAACAGGTGTTTATCGTTGTAGGTGTTTCTTGTTTCCGTATACAGACCAGAGCAAAATGTAGATCAAATTACTTGAGGTCGACCTCTTTAAACCCTTGTTTATGCGACCACCCATGCACTTCTGGACAGCTATGGCGTATTTCTTGTATTTAATTGTACAAGATTTTTCTCGCCGCGCCATTTAGGTTGCAACGATATTTTCGTTGTAGCTATATGTGAAACTGTAGATATTAAACTTAGGATGTGGACTAAGGTATCTCCATAGTTAACCTCATCACGCCTTCTTACTTTATTACTCTGTGTCTTCTTCTCGTTCAGTCCTAAAGCTCCTTAATCTATGGTCGTACTCAGCCTAATGCAGAAGGTGTGGGTTATATGATGCGTTCTTGATGCAAATTCTCTCAAGTCTTGTTTGGCATTGGGAGGTCAAAGTCAAGGTTATTGTTTTGTAAGTGATGGCACAGGATTCATCTTACTATCTTGCTCTAAGCATTCTGCGTTTCGTTTCTGGCTCTATGGCCTAGACGTTCCAGGAGAGTACCTTTGACGGTAGCAAAAGTTAATATAATTTTTGTGATGGACGTTCATACTTACCGGTAAATTTCATAATAGCCTATTGTGGCAATTTTATGCAGAAATTTTAGTTTAAAAAGTCTGAATACTGAAATACAGTACTGTATATAGATGGTGTTTTAAGCCACGTAAAGCAAATGTATTGCGGGAAGTTTTTGTTTTCAGTATAAATGTTCTCATGATTAGTGGTCTATTTTGGCTCATTTTATATTATGTCGTAAGATGAATTCTAGCAAGCATACGTTTTACCACGATAACTAGAAAAATACCGGTATGGATCATAAACATAAACAAATGACGTTTTTGGCCCGAAAATAAACATTATTTAACATTGCTTAAATGGAACTGCCAAAACATATGTTCAATGCTATTAGTATAGGATTCGGGAAAACAACGTCATTTGTTTATGTTTATGATCCATACCGGTATTTTTCTAGTATTCGTGCGTTTTACTGAAGGTTTATGTTACTAGCATTATTGTTGGTATAAGCCAAATGAGTTATATATTGAATTATTGTAATAATCCGCGGTTAACGCTCCATAACATAAAGATTATACCAAAGAACAGAAGTTTGTAGATTTGTGTATGTATATATATTTAGTTTTATAACTACTTCTCTTAAAATTGGATTTTGTAGAACTTACGAAATTCTCTTAGAAATTAAGACATTTATTTCGCAATATGCCGTGACTCAAACGCTTAGCAATTTGCCATTACTTTATCTACGCTATATCGGATTATGATAATCATTAACCGTTATGCACAAGCTTGCAACCGATTGAATATGTGAACAGAATCGCTCCTATAATGTTTGCACAATGAGGTGAAAGTTACAGGGAATTGAATAACTGGCGAATGAATAAGTTATGATTACACCGATGTACGGGGGCTGTAGCATGTCATATAATAATGGTAAAATATGTTAATCAGTTTGCTAATTTCGACAATGTTGGTTTCAAATGTTATAACTCGGTCACGTATGGGATGTCAATGTGGATAATGCACTTTTTAGTTTTGTCGAGCTTTAATGTGTACATACTGATGTACTCCTTAATAGATT